GGTGGCTCAGTATAGAGAGGGAGGGGTGGGACTGATTTCCTGCCCCACAGATCTACGAAGTTTTAAAAACTTTCTTCATCTCCAACAGGGATGGAAAATTAAAGTGTTTCCAGGAAACTGTCAAGATTAAAAAAAAAAAAAAAAGGGGCAAGTTATTTTGAAGTGCAGCATTTGATTTTGATTATTTCTGTATATTATGTGTTGGAATTAACCACTATCCACTGAGGAAAAAGCATTCCTTTCCCAATTAAAAAAAAAAAAGCAACACCCCATCTCCCCACTACACAAAGCTCAAAAACAGTGCTTGTAAAATTAGCAGAAGTTTCTAAATACAGAAGTTGGATCAACTTTCAGACCACTTTCATTCACAAGACATGAGTTTCAGAGAAAAGTACAGGAATGTCTTGTCTAATCAAGTTTCTGTTTTGATAACCAGCATTTCCCAACTTAAAATGCTTTGCTGAAGATTTCTGAGCCATTTTAATTCTAAAAAGACCTAAATCAGGAGGAAGCACAAGACAATAAACTACTGAATTTTATTATTACTTGAGGATTCCTCTGTAAAATAAGTTACCACAAGCAGCTGCTCAGAGCCTGTGAAACTTCATTTCACTGAAAATAAAATGTTTTATGGAATTAGTTTTTATCCAGGAAATGGCATTAAAGAGATGGGCAGACCTTTTTTTTTTATTTTATGGCCTAGAGTTTTGCCCAGCAGTCAATAAGCACTTAAGATTGAAACTCACATTTTGCCTGGTTGAGAATTATCAGAGATGGAAAGTTCCTCTCTGAATCAAATAGAGCAGAACTTGAACTTGGAGCTCCCTAACCCAGACTGGTTCCCTTACTGATGGGGATTCAATACTCACATCTTTTGCCAAATTGCAGCATTTGAACAGAATTCTGTTTATACAAAACATTCAAAAAGTGTTAGTTTTCATTCCAGTGTGGAATTGAAACCAAACTCTGAAACCTCAGAGTTGCTGCAAAACACAGTTGTCCTTCAGTCAACTCAAAGGGCTGCTTTGTGTCTCAGGAGCTTGCAAAATAACTGGATCACAGGCCACCTTCTGGGCCCAGATTTTGTGACTGTATTTCTGAAGGTTTTTAAAGCACTAGACAATCTTGCAATCCATCAGTATTGATACCTCTAGCCTCAGTGCTGCTGGTATGGAATATATTTTTACCCTGCTGTGTGCCACTGACTGGTGGATGAATAGGCAGCAACTTCGGAAACTACACAAGCAGCAAGAACTTTGAAGTAGTTCTTTAGTAACAACTGTGTGTTTGTGCTGCCCTGTGCATTAGAGCATGGGTCTCAGTTTTGTTGATGTTGTTTTATTTCTTGTTTCCAAAGTTCAGTGACACTGAAGTCAATCATAGAGGAGTCCAACCTACAGAATTTACAGGCAACCAGTGTTGTGCCTTGAAGACTTGTGACTGAATGCAGTTTCTATTCTCCTTGGCACCTGACTCCTATTCCCTAAAGGTTTAGGTAGTGCTAAGGGTTGTACAGATGGCTTGTGCTCAATTTAAACCGCATACAGGAAGCTTTCTTTTAGCTAGACTTCTCTATTGTTATGCTAGATTAATAGGTTCTTTTGAAGCTTGAGAAAGAACTGATCTGCCTGAATGATAGTTCTGGGTGGGGAAAGTTATTCAGGAGCATGTTGGCAAAATCTGAAAGGCTGTTTTATTTAACCATTTCCTTGCCTGTTGGTTCAGACAGGTTTTGCTCAGAACAGTGCCCAGAAAGAGGGAGCTGCACTCACATTTTTGAAATTATGGGGTTTGAGTCATAGGTATTTATTTATAAGCAATGAGCATGTTTATTCTTAGATTCCTGCAGTCAAGCCAGAAAATGTTGGCTAGCCATAATGCAAACATGCAGATATACTCTTCATTTTGATCCTGCCCTGACTTGGTATGCAAATTCAACTCAGAAGTACCCCAAACTTGGCTTGTGCTGGAGGGGCTGATTTTGTTTTGCTCATATCGGAACTCAAAATCAGAGGAGGTTCCAGAAATGCCTTGCTTGGGCTGACCCTCAGCACCACCAACTATTCACTGTTGCTGTTACCTTTAATCCTGCTGATGGGAAGCTTCGTCCTCTCCTTTTAAGTCCAGGGTTATATGTGGCCAGTCCTGACGCTCAGCTGTCTCTGTTTGGTGCTCATTCTTGCTCTTCCCAAACCTTGAGTGGGACTTTTCAGCTTTTAATACAATAGAGAGTGAGCATAACACCCTTCTCGCTCCCTAGGTGCAAGATGTGTAGCCATGTGTTTTTTACCCCCTGCCTCCCTACTTCCTCCACAGGATGCTGCCAAAGTGGATGTGTCACTTTGCAGCAGTGGTGCAGGATGATGCTGTGCTCAGGGGAAGTGCTCAGCTTCTGCTTTGATTATTATTTTTTTCATTCTTTTTGAAGTGACATTTGCAACATCAACAGTTTCTATCTTCCCCTGCATCACTAGCAGAGCTTTCCCTTATGCAAAAAGAGGAAGAGCTAAAGAGTCTGTGAAGACTGGTAGAGACTTCTCAGCTGTTGGCCTGCACTCTCAGGCATTGTGGGAATAGCCAGAGACTCTCAGTGTACCCATAGCAATAAAGGAATGGAGACCTGCGTGAATTGATTCTCAATTTGACCTGCACATGTATCCAACTACCTCAGTCTTCCTGATGTCTAATACATCTCTCTTTTTTTTTTTTCCTCCCTTATTTAGAAAGATATCTGTAATTCAGATATCTGAGCTACTTACTGCAGCTCTTTGGCAAAGTAGAAGGCCTTAAAGTGATTTAAAACGTATGTTCATCTTTGTTAAAAAGTAGGACATATGATATAGGTTGCAGATGGCATACAACTTAGTTTCAAGGTCGGAATCCAAACTTCAAGCATTCTTTTCTCTGGCCAGTGGTAGAGAAGAACAACAACACACACAAAAGCAGAACTCTAAATGTTCATCAGAAGGGCTTTATCTGATTTATAGAACTGTGGCTTTCTTGCAGCCGGAACTTGGAAGCAGAGCACAACTGTCAATCCTCTTCCAGATTCCAGAGTTTCCCTAGTGCTTTTAAAAGTAGATTTCCTGAGAGTGAAGAACTTGTGAGAATAAGCAATGTAAATCTTCTGTTTACCGACAGTGACATTGGACTTTCTAAATATACTCTTCCAGTAAAGGCCATTTAAAAAGACATTGAGAGACAAAAGTGCTGCAAGTAATCTGTGATTATCATATCAGTGTAGACTTGGTACTAATGTTCTGTTACCGTAGGAAATTGCTTGGGAATAAGGATTTCTGGTTTGCATAGGTGTGAAGGAAGGATTAGGTTTAAGAAGTTGATTTGCATTGAATGAAATAAATGCATGTCTATGTAGGTGAAGCATGGTGCTGCTAATTAATGCCATTAACCTGTGCTAACTGGGAATGCTGGAAATGTTGGTGCTTCTCCTTCTTGAAATCCTGTGAGAGATGCTAGGATTGAGTTACTTACTCTACTGCTGATTGATGAACCTTTCAAACAGAGGAAGCACATCCTGGTTTGGGATTCAGACCTCCTTCCAAAAAAAGAACATACTCTTCAGATGTCCTGTCACCTGCCTTTGAATAGCTGAAGGCTCCTGCTGCTTGCCAGCTGTGTTTCCAATGTAAAAGGGATTATAAATGAAACTGAAGGGTCTGAGGTATCACTTATTCTAATTGTAAACTCTTTATCCCTATCCTTCTCAGCACTGCTCACCTTTATTTTGAGAAAGACTTGAAACTAACCTAGTTAGTGACAGTTTCTCCTCAGAGCTTGTTAGACTTTCTTTTTCTTATTGACTTATTTGGCTCTACACAGAGAACCTGAGCCAGTGACAATGTCATAAGCATCTGCCAATATTGTGCTGCCAGCGCTTGCTTTATTTTGGTTGCAGCATCAGTTCTTTTAGTCCATTCATGATTCTCCAGGCTTCTTTCAATCAACCCCATCCACTGCAGAATGATAATGCAGTACGTTTGAACTTGAAGGATCGCTTCTAGGGTTGTAAGGGCATCTCTCACCACTAGAATAAGTTCTTCACTGTTCCCACGATGTATCTTTATTAAAAAATTTGTCCCTGTTGTCCTTCTGTTCCCTATCCATGTGTGTTTCACCTGAGAATATGTTCACATACAGGCTGCATCAGCTAAGGTGTTTGGAATGAGCTATCTGCTGTTTTCCAACAGAGTAGCTGGTGTACAGCCAGCAAGTGACACACACAGGATGTTTTCAGTTACATAAATCCCTGCAAAAAGTGCACGGCGAGTGACAGTTCTCAGATATGCCATACGTGCCTAATTGTGCCTGCAGGATTCAAACAGCTGTGCAAGTGCAGGTGTTGGAATCTGTTGTAGCAGTACTCTTTCTCATATATCAAAGTAAGAGAAGAGTTCTGTTTTTCAGATTTATACACAGGCGTATGTTTTGTGCTTGAATATTAGCAGGCAGTATTTGTATATGGACAGGCTTCCTGATGTCTTTCTATGGATCTTACTGAGATACATTGGGTCTGAAATGGTAATTGGACAATTCAGTATTCATATACTACATTGTGTATTTACTTATTCATCCTTTTTTTTTTCAAAGAAAGATGAATGTTTTGTTTTAATTACTGGTTAAAGGGGCAGAACTGTCAAGAATATATCACTGAAGTAAGCACAGGAGACTTTGGCTATTGTGTTCAGGAAAGAGAAGGTTTTGTCCATAATATATTGAGAGCCTGAGAGAAAAACAAAGCTGTTAAATTAGGTTAGCTTCTTGCTCATTCTGGTCTGGCTCCCTGTAAAATAATCAAACAGGGAACTTCTGGTAAGTGAAGGCTTATATGAGATAAGAAAGTAGTGATCTTTTTGTTTTACTTTGTGTTAATGGAGGAAATCATGTATGGCACACTGGAAAAATGTTATAGGTTACTCACAACTTCCTGTACACATAAAGCTATGCTCATTTAATGTATTCCTTCCTTCTGTTCTTTTCAGATGATCCCCATAAACCAGAGGAGAAAGATGAAATTTCCAAAGTCACAATCATAAGTCTTGTCCCCTTATTGGTGATTTCTGTTGCTGTGATTGTTATCTTTTATGCCTACCGCACTCATAAGAAGAGGAAGCTCAACAAGGCCTGGGAGAAGAATGTTAAGCCCAGGAAACATAAAGACTGCAGTGATGTTTGTGCCATTATGTTGGATGATGATCACTCAGACATCAGCTCTACCTGTGCCAACAACATCAACCACAACACAGAATTGCTGCCCATTGAGCTGGACATTGTTGTTGGCAAAGGAAGATTTGCTGAAGTGTATAAAGCCAAATTGAAGCAAAACACATCTGAGCAGTACGAAACTGTGGCAGTAAAGATCTTCCCCTATGAAGAATATGCCTCCTGGAAAACCGAGAAAGACATTTTTTCGGATGTAAACCTTAAGCATGAGAACATCCTCCAATTCTTGACCGCAGAGGAGCGTAAGACAGATCTTGGTAAACAGTATTGGTTGATCACTGCCTTCCATGCTAGAGGAAACTTGCAGGAGTACCTCACACGGCACATTATCAGCTGGGAAGACCTCTGGAAACTGGGAGGATCCTTGGCCCGAGGGATTGCCCATCTGCACAGCGATCACACACCCTGTGGTCGCCCTAAAACCCCTATTGTGCACAGAGACCTAAAGAGTTCCAACATCCTGGTGAAAAATGATTTAACTTGCTGTCTCTGTGACTTTGGGTTATCTCTGAGGCTGGACCCTTCTCTCTCTGTGGATGACTTGGCCAACAGTGGTCAGGTATGTCAAAACTTTCAGGAGACGTGTTGTATGTCATACCAGTTCATCTGTCAGTTCCTGGGGATAAGAGGGGAAAAAAAACCCAAAAACCTGTGCTGCCATATTTGCTTAAAATCAACAGAAATGAAGGGCTGGTTTTTGTTTTTCTTCTTTTCAATGAACAAATAGGCTTTAAACCTCACACAAAAGCAATGAGGGAATTGTGATGAAGATTTTGTTCCGATCAAAGAGCAGCCTAGTTATATGACACCATCTTCCTTTCTGTGCCCTTACAGCGAAACATGTAAAAGCTTGTCAGCTACTATTTGTCACACTGCTGCAATGTGCACACAGGATAGGGGTGTGCTTCATATTTTGAAGTTAAGCCACAGCTTTCAGGCCTGTTAGCACTAGGTTTGTGTGAGTAGAACTACTGTGTCAGTATATCCCAGCATATGTGAATGCGGTCCTCTCTGTCCTCAGCACGTGTAGCAGACAACAGAGAGATAAATAGTCACATTACAAGGCCAAAAATAAACCTGTTTAAGATTATGGGACTTTCTCCACATGCAAGCAAATGCAGTAATATCAGATGAAAATAACTGCCCCTTTCTGAACTAAGTAGTGTGAATAATGCTCATCTATTTCACAGGCGTGCCATGATGATATTTGTGAATGCTTCAGTTTTTCATATATCTCTAAATATTTTCTCTTCTGATGAAAACTCCTGTAGTGGAAGTTGAGACCTTTTCTTAAGTTATGTTCCTAGTTATGTACCACATATGATTAATTGTATGTAAGTATCCAAAGCATGCTTGTTTACACTGACTTCTACTCAGCATGGAACTAGTATTTTGATTTAGGGACGTTTCAGGGACAACTCATCAGGCAGTAGTGTTTGTTCAGTTCATGAGAACTTTGCTGTTGTTTATCAAATTAAGATCTTTGTTGTAAGATCTTTGAAGTCTCATTAGTTTAAGGGAACTGCCCTGATCTCATTTTGATAGGGTTTCTTAACAAGAGTCAGGAGTGAATGATAACCAAGGAAGGCATATTTAAAATTACACAAACACCACTCATGGTCACATATCATTTCTCTTCAGCATGCCAAATCTTTTTGGAGTCCAGTGAAGTCGTACCATATTGACAGTTACAAGACTGGTTGGAGTACAGCAAAAGCAGAGTACTTGGCAGTGTATGTCATAGGCTGTGAAGTTTAACCCCACGGAGACTTTGCTTAAAGCCAACCCATATTTCAATCTGATTTCTCTGGCATTGCTCACACACAGTTGGAAGTAGGAGGATAGCATTAATACTGCCCTCCCACACTCCACACCAGCACTGACAGTGAAGTACAGCACTGCCTAGAAGATGTTGCTACTTTAGAATTGATGCCCTTGGGCACTCATGGCGAGATCCAGTGTTTTACTTTGTTTAGCTTCACTGAATCAGTTTTGGGATAACCAAATTAACATCATTCTTCTCCATGGCAAAGTGTAAGATGATGTGAAGTGGCTCTGTAAACCTCAGCCTCATTTCTTCTGCGCATACAAGCACTACCCACTCAAATGTGCCAACATGACAACTTCAGTACCGTTTGTAGCTTTTGCCTAGGAGATTTTGCACAAGAATTTGCCATCATTTCTGATCTTTACACTTTCACCAAAACTCTTCCCATCAGGAGGTCCGGTTTTTGAAGGTATATAATGGAGCTGACACGCATTTGAATTCAAGGAAGCTTCTGGTTTCCTGTGAAATGAATAGAAAAATCCAAGTATTTTACGTTTTTTTTTCTGATCAGCCTTGGACTGCAATATTCAAGGCAAGTTGTTTGTATTACAGAACTGTCTTCTTTCCCATCCACACAACTACCTTCTGCATAATGCAGATGTTGCCATTATTGTCTGTATGATAACAGTGTTCTTTATGAATGACTGGAAACCATCTTTTCCCCAGACTTTGTGGTCTTTTCAGTTTAGCTATTTGGCCATCCACAATGGCTAACATTTGCAGACATTACTTAATCTGAATATGTAAATCTGGACCCGTGTCCTGTTGTGTTCAGAGGACTGCTGTTTGCCAGCAAGGCCAGATGTTCCTCATCTCGGCAGCATCAGCAGCCTTATAACAACAGATGGTCGTCCTAATCACACAGAGAGGGATAGCCTCTGCCCCTCTGAGTGACACACCTCAAGGCACAAAACATCTCAGACAACTTGAAAGAAATGTAGGGTTTCCAGTATAAAAGTTCTAAAAGTCACAAACATTATAAAAAGTACTGCAGGAAGAGAAATGTTCCCTTGCTGGAAGTTTTGGAAGAGAAGAACAGAAAACGGACTGGTCTTTACAATGAGAAAGTGTCTGAAATATATTTGGGACCCAGACTCAAGTTTTGCAAGCTGTAGGAAAAGAATGTTTGACCCAAAGACCTCGTAATCTAAATTCAGATAAAAGAACAGAGGCAGAGTGCAACAGCTGATGAATTCTAATCAGGATGGAAAGTGAGAAAGCTTGATATCATTCTTAACAGCATTTTCAATTTTCTCTGTGTTTTCAGTGGTTCTTCATAGCTATGGAACATGAGCCTCAATTGTACAGCAAAGCTGCAGAATCTTTTTCACTGCTGCAAGGAGAGTATGAAATGTTGCAAAACTAGAACTGCTTTTGTGACAATGTTGATTATCTGTATTTAGGCAGCATTAACACTTAATGAAAAAAACAGCAGGATGGGGCTGGGCAATTTTGGGGCATAGTATGTCAGAATCTTTTCTAATACTTTGATGGACTCTGCTTTGGAGAGAAGCTGTATGTTTGGAAGGGATGGGGCTAGGAACAGCCTCTGCTGCAGGGTTGCCGTGCGTTCATGTTCAGTAGGGCAGGAAGGTACTGGTGAACTCAGTGCTGCTGGGACATGGTTATCCCAAGAACCTCTAATGTGTTGGTGTTGCTCATGTTTGGCCTTCATTTTCACAGATTCCGTACAACAGGGAATTTAACTTTTGGACTGATTTCAGACTTTTTTTTGCTATTCTCTAAATAAAGGCCTTGGTACTACAGCCATTTGTATACCTTTAACAAATAAATTCTCTGATGTTGCACAGTCCTATGATAAAGCAATGTCCTTAGTCTGTACTGTTGTTTTCTTAGGGAGCATTACACTTTTTGTAGCACTGTTTCCCATTTGTACTGAGTATGGGATGATAAGGTGTGTTTCCAGAAGCATGCCAAACACATGTAGGAGACTGCATTTACTATGTAGCTGCCTTCAGTTGCAGACCCAATAACCGGAATGTTCTTTTGTAGTTCTGCTTGCCACCAAGCTCTGGACTGATGGCTGTAGTTCGCTCTACAAATAGCCCTTCTTAACCACAGATCCTACTGCATCACCCACTTCTGTTTTTTCCTCTTTTTTTTTTGTGATTAAGCAGTCTCCCATCTGAAGCTGTCCTTGCCTGATCTGATTATTTTTGGACTTTTTCCAGATGAGGAGAGAAGGAGAGCAATTTTTTTATACATTTATTTTTTGAAATTTTTTGAAAAAAATTAAATTTTGGCATTGGATCTGCTCAGAGATCCAATAATTATTCCTTACATCTATTCATATGATAAGAACACTTAAACTTTGCCATCAGTAATGTAAGGTCGTAATCTAGACTGCAGCACAGCTGCTAAAATCACTGCTGAAAATTATTGAATATGCATAAACTTTATGGGAACAACTTTTCAAACGAAGAGGGGCCAGTTTTTGGTTTCACTTCAAATGTGTGCTTATGCATTCAGTACATCTTCATCAGCTTTCTTGTGCCAAGCCTGCATTTACCTCTCTCATTTTAAGACCACTTTGAAAAGAAATAGTTCTCTCTATAATATGCAGTGCAAAAGAATACAGTGATTTTCTTGCTTGTCTGAAAATCACTTGGTCAGTGGCAATTGCTCCAGGCCCAGAGGACAGAGTTTATCTCAATGAACAGCCAAAGAGTGAGAAAGTTTGTCAGCATTAAAAACAGTTGTTTAAGGAACTACAAAACGCTGCTGTTCTTCTTTGCTTTATCATTTTGTTTTGTTTGTTTCTTTGCTTTATCATTTTTTCTTTACCAAGGGAGGTGCAAGTACAGTCGGTAGTCAAGACAATGCCAGATTCTTTTGGCAGCAGAAAGCATGATCCATGCCAAGTATGGCTTGCATTTTTGGATACGTGTCAAATGGCACCATTTCTATGAAAGCTGAAGTCAGATCACAGCAGAATCCAAAACATGAATTACAGTTGCAGCTCATGAGCTCTCCCATATTTCCTCTCGTGCAGGTTGGCACAGCAAGGTACATGGCCCCTGAGGTCCTGGAGTCCAGGATGAACCTTGAGAACATGGAGTCCTTTAAACAAACAGATGTGTACTCCATGGCTTTGGTCCTTTGGGAAATGACATCTCGCTGCAATGGTGTTGGAGGTAAGCACCATCGGTTTTCTTATCTCTAAAGGTATGTTTGGATAGAAGTGCTCTTGTGGTTGTCTGTGTGTACAGACAATTCTTTGTTGTTCTCGTGGGCCTGGCTGCTGTAAGCTAACAGGCCTTCAGTAATATAAGATGCACGTGTGTATGAGCAAGCTTCAAGGGCAAGCTCCTGAAAGCATGAGGAAATTGCTCCCTGTTGCTGTAAGGATAAATTTGCTGCTAGGTAAGCCTCTTCTGAAGGTTGTTCATGCCTGTTATTTTTTTAAACTACAGCATCTTGAGTAGCCGTGGATTGACTGGTCTGCCTGTCCTCTCCCAAAATAATTATTAATATAAGAATGTTTGAAACACTTGGATCTGATGATCTTAGATGTCTTTTTCAACCTAAATGATTCATGAAATATTAAGACCAAGAAGTGATAACTGTCCCCCTTTTGCCTTCATGGAATGTTAACTCTGAAACCTAATGAGGGCCAGTTAAGTGTCACATTTACTAATTATCATTTCAATAAGAGCCATCATAGGGGTTCAAAAATCTTTCTGCTTTTGTGAAATCCACAACTGCCACTCATCATTTTTTGGGATGTTGCAAGAGATCATCCACAGGAGAAACCAAGGGATGTTCATTGTATAAAGTGCAGTAACAAAAATAAGCGTAACTGAGTATCAAAATAGCTCCAAGAAGAGCTACTGTGTTTGTTCATATTCAGACTTCGTTCACTGAAACAAAATCTCCATTTCTACTTTGCCTAAAGCTGGCCCAAAATTCCCAGTTTGCTATGCTAGTATGTGCTAGAAATCTGAAAAGTTGCTGTTGAGATTCTGCATTACATATTGCCATATTTGAAGATTTTCACCTTAACTAAACTAGTTCCTAACTCAGGAACCAAAATGAGACTGTTACATATACATTTTTTCAGTCTGCTTGTATTGTCTAGCAATCATTTTAACAGAAGTCCAGACAGTCTAAGAAGCAGGGCTGTTGTGTGTAAGACTAACGTGAATATTACAGCAGATATGAGACTATTTGTATTTGCTACCTCTCTCCCAGAACCACATAGGTTCTCTTTTCATTGGACTTGCCACAGTTGAGTCTCAAAGGGCTGGCAACAGAGACAGGACAGTCTGTAGAGCACTGCAGTATGGGGAACGTAGTGTACAGGAGAGAAACCAGTGTCCTATTGGAAAATGAATATAACTGCTCCTTGTTTCTCTGCTAACATCCGTGGGATACCACAAGGCTGACTATCCGTGGAGGTCTCTGAGGCCACTCTGCACAGTAGCAGTTTGGCATCACCATGTTTGTGTGCAAGAGGTAGAAATGCCTGCATCCCAGTGTCTTGCTCTGTCTGACCAGCATTTGGTCTTTGTGGGTGGGCTGCACTGTGGGCAGTTTTGCCCCTGTTTGCGCCCTGCTGGGAAAGCAGGGTGTGCAAATAGCTAGTGCTAGCAGAAATGCGTGAAACCTTTTTTTTTTAGTCAAATGTTTCAGGGAAAAAACATGTGGTGCTCCAAAAGCTGAAAGTTTTTGAAGTCTAGCATATTCCATGGCAAACCTATCCACATTTAACAGTTGTGGCTATGTATGTTTCTAAATGCGTTGGCAAAACCTCAGCCTTTCATTAGCACTTTGTAAGTGCAGCTGAGAAGATTTAAAACCTGAGAAAAAGGATCTCTGCTCTGTCTCGAGCTCTCTCTGTTTCTTGCATTTAGGAACTCACCTTATTAATATAAATATGAGCTGTTCACTGTGGAGTCTTTTATCTTCACTGGTGCCTGAATGTGTTGCTGTTCATATTTGCTGAGTACAGTGAAATGGAGTTTGTGGCAAGAACAAACCTTGTTGCTGCTGTTCTCAGATGGCAACTGCCTAAAAGAGGATATAAAGAGAGTTTCATAAGGAAGGGAAATCACCAGCGTGTTTAGGCAGAAGAGGTTGACCCCTTATAACCTTGAGAAGAAGAGCTGAAATTATTTTAGGAAAAGGAGACGTTTCTCTGGCCCAGCATCCCCTTTGTTTTCATGCTGGAGCTTAGCCCCTGCCTCTGATTTTCCCTAATCCTCAGTCATCCTCATCTCCAGAAACATACTTCTTAAATTTTGTTTCCATGCTTCAGTCATCTTTCCAGGTGGTTCACTCCCCAGTGAAACCACCAAAGTATTTGGGCTGTAGTGGGTAGGACTTGGGCTGAGTGTCTTCAACCAGAGCAGCTAAATATAACTCCTACGATGCAGCTCCCTTATCTTGTCGGTGGTACTGAACTACAGCAGCATTGCATGGTTTCTCTCATTTCCTTCTTTGATCTTGTCTTGGTTCGTGCAGTCTGACTCTCTTTGCAATCAGCTGGTGAAGTACCCTTACAGTGATTCATGACTGCAGCTCCCTCTCTGCTTTCTCTTCCCATCTGTCACTTGTGAGACTCCCTTCCCTTCTTGCACCCTTCAGAGGAGCTGCCTCCGTTCATGCAAACCACTCCATTTCCTGACCTCGTAGGTGAGGAGAGAAATGACTTTGCATGTAAGCCAGGGCAGGCTTACCCAATTGCAGCCTTTCCAAAGAAACCTAAAAGATGTAAGTGCTGTCTCCCCAGTGCAGGCCTGTCTGCAGTGTGGGCTCTCTCACACAAGGACCAGGGAAGTTCAGAGAGCAGCCTGATGCTGCTGGGGGAAAGCACGGGAAAGAAGGGGTTAATTGCTATGCTAACGGTAGGGTGAGTTATTTCTTTTACATAGGGTGTTCTCAGGATTTGTCTGTTGGTGTGCAGGTGTTTGGTGAGTGTGGGAGGCGATGGAGGCAGGTCCTTTCACTGCAGCAGCTTTGTCGAGCGTAGTCTCAGCAGAATGCCAGGCCTTTTCAGTCAGCAGACATTTAAACGAAAATACCCAGCAGCATAATCTGTACTGTGAAGCTGCCATAGTAAATATGCAGGTGGGGATCAGCTTTCGAGAAAGGCCATGCTGTTCATTGTTACTTTGTTCTGCTAAATATGGAGAAGCAGAAATGGGGCACAGGGGAGAGGGAGACAGAGGCAAATAGTGAGTTTGACTGGTTTTTCACCGGAGGATAATTTAAGAGGCATATTTAGAAACTCAGCAATACTACTTTGGGGAGAACTTCAGCTGCTCCACACTGCCGTTAACTTGGTATTTCATTCAGTGCAACAGCTGTGCACCAGATGCTGCACGTTGCGAGAAATACAATTTTCATCTCAACCGCTTGCTTTCAGAGCGACAGAGCTTTGGTGACTGAGGCAAGTGTAATTTCTCCGACAGCCTCCTAGAAAGAAAAGGAAACCATCTGCTTCGTATCGGAGCTGCTGCAGGCAGGGGACTGCTGGGGGCAGCAAGGGAGAAGGAGAGGAACAAAGCCTCAGGATGCACAGGGCTGGTGAGGAAGGAGAGAAACTCCTCAGAAAATGGCGACGTTGCTCGTACGGTGTTGCAGTGCCTGAAGGGGCGGCTGGCTTTGGTGTAGCAGCAGAGCTGTGTCTGAAATAGCAGCCTTGTTTTACCAGAGCTCTGTTTAATGTGAATAAAAGAGCTGGTTAATCTTACGCTCGCTTGGAAAGAGTCAGCCAAGAGGTACAATTTGGCAGCTAAGCATTTGTGCATCTTGTGCTTCAGGGAACGCTGGGCATTCATCACGTTGAGTGTACAGAGGTGACAGTTTCTGGCAGCAGGGAATATTTTGATAGCCTGTGCAGTGGGGCTGTGCCTGTGCGTTAGGTCTGTGCTTGTGCATCAGGCCTGAGGTCTCTGCAGCAGGGGCCTGGTTTAAGCCTCTCCTTTGTGAAGAGAAGTCCCAGTGGGGCAGGTTTGCACTGCAGTGGCATGTGGTGGCATGCATCCCACATCTGGTACACCCACAAAGGGCACCATCACCACTATTGTGGAACAGTAGCTTGGATCCCAGAAATTCTCTATGTGTCACCACAGTATTCAGTGCTGTCTTTCAGCAAGCCCAGGTAGCAGTAGGTAAGATCACCCCGCAGGGCACTCTTATGCTGTATTCCTCTACTTTCCCATCTCAGGGTCTAGCATACAATGACTAAACAGCCTATAATCATACTCTTATGGCAGAGCTTATACACTCCCAGCCCTTTGGAAAGGTGACTGTGTCTTTGATCATCAGATGTGAAATCACTTAAAACATGTCTGTGCAAGGAAAACGGCACTGTAGGTTCATTCATCCCAGGGCATCCTCAGACTTCCCAGCTAGCATTCATATTCTGAAGGAGTGGATCTGGGAAACCCAGGGAAAATGTGGCGTAAGCATCTAACAACTCCTTAAACTCAAAATTGAAATGGCTTTGAGCTTCTGCATAGTCCCTTTGTGCAACAGTATATAGACCCACCACCCAGATTCTTCTAGCATGAGGAAAGACACAATCTGCACGCACATGCAGATGTGTGTGTGTACGTAAGCTATCACAGTAACTGCATCATCAACTGATTTATCCCCTCTGTGGCTCTTCCCTCCTATGCTCTAAATTAAGGGGTTTTTTTTTCAAAAGGATCAGAAGTTCCAAAAACATAAGATCACTGCTATGGATTGTGCTCCACAGCTGATTTTCGCTAGCCTTCTTCCTCCTCACTCCTGGTTTAATTCTTCAAGTAAGCCTTCATCTTATGCGTAAGGAAATGTCCCACTAAAAACATAGCAAGACATATCACATGGGGGAAGTGTTGATGGGGTTTGCAGGTGTGCAGTTCTCACTTAAAGGAAGAAAATCTCACTGCAAACAGCTTAGAGCATAAGATCGCATGCAAGAGGCATATTTTTCATGAGGAGTCCGCTGCCAAATGTTCTACAGCATTCATCAAGCACAAATAGATTTTCAGTAATGTCTCTGGGGCTAAAAATCCAGTCCCAGCCTTTCTGAAAGTTATAGCCATGCTGGTGTCAAAGGGAAGCAGAGGTACAGTGATTATTAGTGCAAGGTAGCTCACAACCATTAAGATTAAATGCAAGAGGTTAAAGTTGAAGAAACTCTTCCATTACTGAATACTAAAAGTGCTGTGGTTCAAAATACCTAAGATATTTATGGTACTTCAGCCAGTTGTCATTTTTAGTGTCTGACTGGTCTGAAAACAATCAGAAGAAACATTTAAGTCATAAAAAATAGATTCAGCATCTGTATATAGCTGTGCACGAGTATGTAGCAGCAAGCATCTTAACCTGCCTCAAATTGACACCTATTATGTCTACTGTAGCATGCCAACATGATCCATGAATAACCTCAGCTATTACTCCAAAATGTGTCTGACACCTGAGATTCCACACTATATGGATGATTTACCGCAGGAGGATTCAGTCGGCTTTTCTTTTTGAAGGAGGGAGAAGCAAGATAATAAATAGCGGGAAGATGCTGCATGCTTTTCAGAGTGAGGAAAAGCACAACTGTGTTACTATGAAGTCATTACAGATAACTAGCATCTGGCCTCAATTTCTCCTCAACAAAATCGCAAATCTGAAAAAAAAAAATGCAGCATAGAAGGAATTTCTTGAACAGGGGAAATGTGTTAGAAACCTATCAGTTCTCCAGGAAGGCTTTCCCTTTCACCAAGTAGAGGCAATCCCAAGCACAAATACAGGAAAGAATGGCTGGAGAGCAGCCCTGAGGAGAAGGATTTGGAAGTGTCAGTTGGTGGAAGACTCAACAGGAGCTGACAATGTCCGCTTGCAGCCCAGAAGGCCAACCGTATCCTGGGTTGCATCAAGAGAAGTGTGACCAGCAGGTCGAGGGAGGTGATTCCGTACCTCTGTTCTGCTCTTGTGAGACCCCATCTGAAGCATCCAGGTATGGGGGCCCCAACACAAGAAGGACATGGAGCTGTTGGAGTGGATCCAGAGGAGGGCCAAGAAGAAGAGCAAAGGGCTGGTGCACCTCTCCTATGAGGACAGGCTGAGAGAGCTGGGGCTCTTCAGTCTGGAGAAGAGAAGGCTCCAGTGGACCTTGCAGTGGCCTGCCAGTACCTGGAGGGGGCCTACAGGAAAGCTGGGGAGGGACTTTTTGTAAGAGTATGTAGTGACCGAGGGAGGGGAAATAGCTTTAAACTGGAAGAGAGTAGATTTATACTAGATATTGGGAAAAATTCTTTACTGTGAGGAACAGGCTGCCCAGAGAGGTTGTGGATGCCCCTTCCCTGGAGGCGTTCAAAGCCAGGCTGGATGGGGCTTTGAGCAGCCTGATCTAGAGGGGGATGTACCTGCTTATAGTAGGGCTGTTGGAACTGCATGATCTTAAAGGTCCCTTCCAACCTAAACCATTCCATGATTCTGTGATTCCATGATTCTTTGATTATATGATTCTACGAAATGAACAGTCTTGTAAACCTCAACGGCCTTCAGATTAAATTCGGTGAGAGGGAACGGGCAGCACTGGAGAGCTTCCCTTGATTTGTCACTCACATTCCTATGAGGCAAACACAGAAGGGCAAAACTAGAGCCTGGCTTGCAGGGAGTCATTGAAAAAAAAGTGTATACGCACTCAAGATGGCCTGTTCGTATTAGATGTAACTAACATAGTCCTGGGAACATTCAAAACATTATTATCATACCACACACGTGCCACTGCTCCACGTGTCTCTCGTACTCTTGTCTCACCTGTGCTCTTCTGTGCTAGTGCTCCATATTGCAGGGAGATCTCTGAGACTACAGTGGGTGTCCAGGACCACTATCACAAGGAAACCATGCCTGCTGGAGATGTGTAGGCAGTGTCTAGATCATGCAGTTTACTTTTCCTCAGCAATCTCTACCATCTTGGTTAGCTTTGAAAGCAAAAGCATCAGCTTTGTAATCGTTGTACTTCTACTGTGCTTCCATTGTGCTTCCAGGTCTGACCAGCAAGATGACAACTTCTCATTTAACTTTTAGAGTTAAGATTTTGTAAATTTACCTTGGCTGAATTATCTCAAACTGAGATTAATGTGGGTGAAACTGATTCGAAGAAAGCAAAGTAGACTTTGGCCCTTGTGCCTTAGAGAAGGTATTCTACTTATGGGAAGGTAGGACTTGTGTTTCGGAACTATAGTCAGTCAGCACAAAATTGTGTAGAGAGTGACCAGCACCAAATGCTTTACAGAAAAAGGAGGGAGACATCTGTGGGGTAATCTGCCACACTGCATGCACGGTCATTTGCTAAATTCTGGACAATTTAATGCATGGAGTTTAATATCCCTTCCAAAATGTTCGTTGTTGTGTCTTGGGCTATTCTTTTAGTTATCTCTCTTTTTCGGTAGCCTGGTGTAGTCTTCACCTTGTGGCCATCACCTAGCAATGAAATCTACAGCTTGTCTCTAAAATTCTGGAGAAAAATCCACCTTTTAGTTTTGTTTTCATCATGAGACAAAGCGATCCGAATGATCTATCTATGTTATCTTCATCATTAATTACTTTGATATTGTATCATGTGCCAAAGGGAAACAAAGTCAAATGTTAGCAGTTCTTCCCTTAGCAGGACATTTCTTTCTGGGCCTTTAATCATTGTTATCACCCTTCTCAGAGGTCCTATTTACTATAAAATGCGCCTCGAGAGAAGTGAACAGTACTGGACACTGCATTTGAACTTTGATTGCAACATTATACAATAGTACTGTGTCTCTCATCTCGTTCATCTCCCTTCACACATCTTCTAGACACTCGCATTCTTCAACCTGCCTAGTAGATTACACTAGTTTTTCTTGCCCTCAATTAATTCCTAGAAATAAATAAAAGGCAGCAGAACAGGCTAACTTCATAAATCTTTATCTAATACTAGCAAGCCATTAGACCCATGTGTAAATACTCCATCTGTTCCCAAAGAAACCACAGCATTTTCTACATTGTGTCAGCATCTACTGTAATATTTCCACTCTTGGAGATTTCTTGAGTTTTCTCCAAAGATCCCATATGTCTGCTTCTTCCTTTCTCTCCCCAAAGAAAAGCAAAGAAAATATGCAACATGCACAGAAAAATGAGAATGGCAGCAGTCCCTACAGGAAACTGTATCCCCTTCATCATCAGTTGAAATTGACCTATTTTAGGAAAGAGGTCTAAAATCAGAGCAGACTACTAACGGCTCAATAATAAGCAAGGACAGTATGGAAGCTTCCAGCACTGTTCCTTGTTGTACCTTTGTCTTTTTCAAGCAACTGTTTCCTCCTAGCAATCTGGCACATTAATATCTGTGACCTAGATTTCAGTTTATATTTCACCTGGTTAGTGTGTGGAAACTCCAGGGAACTTAAGGGGGACCAGCATAACCATTCCTTGCAGACTTGGCTCAAGCAAAATTCACCTTGAAGTCCTTGTATGCTTTGCCTCAGCGGAGACTGTACGGCTCACAAATATTACTCTGATGCTCTGACTGTTGCTAATATGATTATGTGCTAAAGAGTTTAATTGGAAATTGTCTAGTTGGCTAGGAAGGAAAAACGGAGAGGGGTGTGTGTGTGGGAGGAACACATTTGAAACATATTTGAAAATGCCAACTGGCTTTGCTTTGTTTGGAGCTGGTCAGGCAGAACGGTGGCACTGTGCAGCTAATCAGTGGCTCCTTCTCCTCCAGAGAACAGCCAGCTCACACTTGGCACACATGCAGCCCAGCTGAATACCCTTGTGTTTGCTTCTTCTCTTGGCAGAAGTGAAAGAGTATGAGCCCCCGTTTGGTTCTAAAGTGCGAGAACATCCCTGCGTGGAAAGCATGAAGGACAATGTCCTAAGAGACAGAGGGCGACCTGAGATCCCCAGCTCCTGGCTCAACCATCAGGTAAGAGCACTGCAGAACCCATCTAGCTGCTGCCCAAAGCCTGAGCGTTAAGTCTGTGTCCTGCTCAGCAAGAGAGGCCTCTCTTTTTGCACTCGTTGCTCTGTCACATAGTGACACTGGTGCTGCCCATTGTTCAGACACCACAGTGCTCTGCACCATGCCTGCTCCCAGATCCCCATGGATTTCTGCTGCCCACCAGTGTAATTTGAAAGCGACCAAATTAAAACTAAAAATAATAGAAACCTGAGACCCCACAGTCATCCAGACAGCCACAGAATAATTAGGGCCTTAAAGTACACTGTGTGCAGGCTCTGAAAGGTCAAAGAGAGCAGCTTTACACACGGGTTCCATCAGCAGAGAAAACAAATCTCAGCACTTTACCACAGAGAAAAGTAATACTGGCATCCCAGCTGTTGACAGGTTTAGGAAAATAGGAAGTGAGTCGTCAGCAACTCGGTTTGTTTTTATTCAGGGCAGTGTAGTGACAGTCATTGGCATGTTGGGAAGCACTCTGTCAGCTTTCTCTGTTCTTACACATCATGGTGGCACTTCCTAGGCGATAGATGCAGCCCAATTTCTCAGTAGCTGAAGCTGAATGGAAAAGAGCCAAAGGCATGCATTCCTTAACTTTTGCTCTGAGCGGTTTTATCAGAAGAGATAAAATGAGAAACATATCAGAGAAGTGAGGCTTGGTCATTCCACTTATCAGTGAAATATGTTGAGTGGTCTTTATGGACAAAAGGAAAGTATCACAAACATTTATAAAAGCCCAGGCAACCAAGACCAGCTGATATTTCCATAAAGAGCCTTTTTTTTCATTCTAGTTGAAATGTTAAAATTATAGTCTAACCTTTAATTAGGAAAGTCCATGTGAGTGGCTGTAATCAGTCAGTCCTCCAACCAGGAGCAACACATCTGCTGCCTGATGACTGCGACAGAGTGCATGCCGTTCCTGGACCTGTCATCTGCAATGAGCAGGACTATTAAGGAGCAATGCTCTCACTGGGGAGGAGAGCTGTGTTTTGAGGGACATCTGAAGAACTGATATTGCCAGTACTGAAAGGCCTTTGACATTTCTAGGATCTATAGCTACAGCTATCTTCTAACCTATCTGTTGAGCTGGGAAGGTGAGGTTACATTGATGCTCATCTGTATCGAGTAGAAGACTGCAATTTTTTTTTTTTAATTATGTATGAACAGGTAGAAGTCATCAGGAGTTGACTACAGCTGTTTGTTTTCCCCAAAGGCAAAAGGACGTCCAACCCAGTAGTGAACGTGTGAGACTTTAGAAGAGCCCAGTTAACAAAGCAGGAAAGAATCCTGAGCCAGGTCACTGGGGAGCAAAAAAAAAAGTTGAAGAAAATGCTTAAAATTAGGAACAGTGTGAGAACATTTCTGAGAATATTCCAAAGTCATGGTCTTAACGTGTCAAAAAAAAAATAAAGAGAACCGATTAGGGAAATAGAAGAACAACAGGAAGATCTGTAGTCAGTAGACTTGAGGTCAGTAAGTTTTCTCCAATGCAAAAGGAAATCTAACTTAGTATCAGTCCATCACTTACTGTGCTGCTTATGCTAAGGCAGAGGCAGAAGTTGTTGGCAAACATTTCTGTTCTGCATTTGGGAAGAGTCAGATGACATACATGTAGTAGAAGATGGCAAAGGCACCGATGAAGCAGAAGTCATTGACGCTTAGAGCAGGCCATGGGTAACGTTAAGTGGCCCAGAGACCTGTGTGCATTCAGGGCTGAACTCCTTCAGGCATTACATGGCATGGCAGCAGGAGCAGCAACGTGGCTGGTTGTGCCTTGTCGAGGGAGCACCAGCAGCTCCTTGTGTGTGTTAGGCTCAGGGTCCTAGCAGTGCTGGCAGTTGGTGCCCAGCACAGGACGTCCTGCCAGCTGGGATGTGCTGCCTGCGTTTGTGTGTAACTGGAGTGGGCACAGCTGGCTCCAGGAGGGCTCAATTAGGAGTCTAAGGCAGGAAGTGAATGCCTGATAACACCCTCCCAGGACATTTAGTGAAGGTAGATTTAATTCCCTTTGTCTGAATCCCTTCAGCGTTTCACGTTGCGCTATCTACAACTCAGTGACGCATGGGCTTCAGCAGGGCTGTGACAGTTTGCAGCAGCTGAGGATCTGCTTTGAACTCCACTGAAGTTGCTTTTACTGTAATAGCTCTTCCATATTCATTTCCTCCCTCTGCAGTCGTGTTTTCGTAATGAACTCATTATTCATCGTGATAAAATTCTGGAATGGATTTACATATTACATTTTTTTCCCCTTAATGAGATCTGTTGCACTATTGATTTCAAGTTAATGTTTAATATTTAATTTAATTTACTGCTTGTAATTTCAATGTCATCAGAAAACTAATGTTATTTGTATACAGACAGTAACGTTCTGCTATTAACATTGACATCAGTCAACATCACAATTAGGTAAATTATGCAATTAATGTAGTGTTGTGAAATGTTATTTTTTTAAATAAGAAGTTTAAGATAAATCCCGCTTAATGGGCTTCTAGTGTCATAAAGCAAAGCACACAATTTCCTGGCAAATACCTCATGTTTACAAAATGCATTACGAAGATGCAACTGTTTTTTTGCTCCTGTAAACATGTGCATCAGCATTGAAATGAAGGTTAAATAGTTACATCTGTGAGTGACATGTGTTTAAGTGTTTGTGGGACTGCGGCCCATATTTGCACACAGTTTTAGTTTGTCTGTGGAGAATTCATAAAGGCTGATGTCAGGCTTGATATTGCTGGCAATCAGAATTCTGTCAAAAACAAAAAAAACAACAACACAAATAGGATTCAGCCATGCGGAGGGATGGGTTGAGTGGGAAGTTGTTATTCAGCTGTTCTGATTGTATTTATTAGACCAAAAACGACTTGATTCTACTGGTCCAAACCAAAAAGTGGAGGTTTGGAGGAGGGAGGGTAGCGAGGCTGGGGAATAGGTTGCCCAGAGATGTGGTTGATTCCTTGTCCCTGGAGACTTTTAAGGCTGGATCAAGCCCTGAGCAACCTGATCTAGCTGTGCACATCCCTGTTCATTGCAGGGGAGCTGGACTGCATGGCCTTTAAAGGTCCTTTTCAATTCTAAGGATTCTGGGATTCTGTGTCTAGAAATGGCATTACCGGTCATTGGAGCCAGTGGACGTAAGGTTGTAGGGTTTCTTTAAAAAGAAAGCATACCATGTCCCCATTTCAATGACAGCAGAGCCCACTGAGCACCTCTGGGACCAGTTCTGTCACCGCAGGCACACCAACGGTCCTCTAGGCTTCCGAGGACACCGAAGCCGGCTCTTATGAGCACGCACCGGCGGTGGCTCGATGGCTGTCCCCACCACAGTGCTCTCTCTGTGCTCTCCACAGGGCATCCAGATGGTGTGTGAGACCCTCATTGAGTGCTGGGACCACGACCCCGAGGCTCGGCTCACGGCGCAGTGCGTGGCGGAGCGCTTCAGTGAGTTCAAGCACCACGACAAGCTCTCAGGGAGAAGCTGTTCAGAGGAGAAGATCCCCGAGGACGGCTCCGTGACCACCGCCAAGTAGCACGCACCCAAGAGCTCCGAAATGGAGGGAGGTTACTCCTAAGCACGTTACCTTGGCAGAGGAAGAAGTCACGATCGGTGCCTTGACTTGCTTCCTGGAGGACTGAGGCTGTCACTACTCCCTTTGAGCTGTGGCTCTGGGCAGGGAGATGTATGCATGGGAGTTAAAAGCCAGGGAGTGGGTGTTGTACTCCAGCATTGGCAGCCGGCGTCATGTCATAGGAGGAGCTAAGTCTGTTAGCACTTCCTCAGGAAATGAGATTTGAGAATAGCCAATAACATTATGCACTTTAATAATGCCTGTATATAACTATGAAATTGCTATTTTTATATATATATACATATATATTAAAAATGTCTGTGTATGTATATATCTATCTATATATCTGTAAACAGCCATGATCTGAAGAAAAGAGTTTAAAAAATGCTTGCAGGAAATTACCTGTGCATTAGAGATCCCTCCCCATTGGGAAAGCGCCCGGGGAGACTGGTGTATCGGGACACTAGCGATTGTGCACTAAGCACTCTGCCAAAAAGATAGGAACAAGGAGCAATAAGAGGATGGCTTTGAAGCATGTGCTGCACACACCCAGCTGTGGCCCAGGAGACGACAGTTGCAGCAGCAGTCTCACAGCAAGGAGACAGATCTGGCTTTGCAGTTGTAACTACACGCTCCTGCCTGCAGTGTTTTTGGGAAGATTCGGGGATGTCTTTGCCCTCTTGCCTTAACCCCAAGGTCCTCACAGCCTCCCATAGTGGGAGGGAGCGTGAGGAGGTTTGGTCCCACCACCTGTGTTTCCATGCAGAGGTCATTAGTGTTATGTCTTTATTGCTTTGAGTTCATGCTGCTTGCAAGCAGGTTGCAAAATAGCAGCGGGATGAGATTTTTCCCTTCCTCCCTTCCTGACCCTCAAACCGCACCAAGTCCAGCAGTAATCCAAGCAGATGTTTTATATTTGCTCTGCATTCTGAACACAGACTGTGCTTATTTTTTCCCTTTTCCTTTTACCTTAATTGCGTTGCTGTGAGAACAAATAACTTTTTCCTAGTACAGCATATCTAATTGCTTGACATACCACAGCCTGACTGTTCCATGCTTTCTAGAGAAAAGCAAGAGACAACACCCAGTGCCTTTGCTTTCACACAAGGACCTTAGAAATGAGGGAAGGCTCCATGGCATCAGGTTCATGGCATATCCTGCCCTCTTCTCTGCAGGGTAGTGGGAATTTAATTATCCAGGCAGTTGACATGTGTAAACTTATACAAATGACAGCAGTGCGTTTTATAATTCTGACGATTCTGTCTTCAGGAGTTCTGCAGTGATGTTTCACTTTTTTCTTCCCTTGGCATGTGTTTGGGAACTGTTGAACCACTGATTGATCACCTGAGGTGAGCACTGAGTCAGCCATGGAGCACAGGTGAAGGCAATTCAGCTGTGTGATGGAAGGGGTGGAGCCTGGCTGCACCTCTCCTAGACCCCATTTAAAGGCTGACTGCCACTGGGGAAGGGTCTTTTTCTGGAGATTACTTTCTTCGGAGTTTTTTCTGTGAGCCTAGGACACGGGTGAGCATTTTCATTTATTTTTTATTATCCCCTTTCCACTGTGATAATCCTTCTAGTTACATGACCTGTAAAATACTAACTGTGCCACTCTGCTAATTGTACTTGTCGATTGTGCAGCATGTAAGCGGGCTGTGGAAACCAGGAGTTGAGCACAGAGCAGTCCCACACAGGTCTGCATCAGGTGCAATTCACTGAACATCTTTGACAGATAAACTTTGATATTAATCTAGAAGATATTGCCAAGTTAGTAGGAATCATGCTTGTTTAAATAGGAACTCAGACTGACTTGCAGTGAGAAGTACTTCGTTTCAAATGGTATTGTATCCCCGTTCATTTTGTTTTAACTGAACTGCTCAGAAATATTTAAACAAAGAGCAAAATCTTAGCAACTACAACAGGATTCAGAGGACACTGTGTCAAACTGAAGGGGAGAGGGATTTGCATTTCCAAAAAAAAAAAAAAAAAAAAAAAAAAGCAAGGAAAATGATGCAGCTGCTGCAGGGCCACTGCCATCTAGCGAGGCGCAGCTGTGTGCTGCACAGCAGGACTGGGGGGCTGAGGGCAGCCATGGCTGCTTTCTCTCCCTCCACCCAACTGAAGGTCAGGGAATGGCATCCAGAGGTTACTGACAGTACTGACACATTTATTTCCTATTTTTTGTTGTTGTTTTTTCTTGGTTTTATTTTGTTTGTTGTTGTTTTGTTGTTTTTTTTACTACAACATGTAAAGGGATTTTTTTAAAATTCTCTTAAGGAATACTTCACCTGTACATCATGTATGAAATAGGGATGTGAATGTTATATACTCTTCTTTATCAAATGTTTCAAGCACTTAACTTGCTTTGTAAACAGTGTTTGGGGGCTTTTTGTTCTTATTGTTTTATATAAATCAAATGTTTATTGCTGCAAATAAAATAACACCAACTCAAATTTGTCTTTCATCTCTGGAGCATCTAGAATAAGGAGGAGGCTCTTGCAAAAATGATCCCTGTCCTAAAAGGATTTATTCTCATCCCTTTTCACCAGATGCCCGGATGTCCAGCTGCCGCTGCACGTGTCCCTCTGTGCTGCTGTCTTGTCTGGAGAGCATCAGCAAAGGGATGCAGTGGCCATTCCTTCACCATGTAAAACCATCTCTGGTCACGGGCAGGGGACAGAAACAGGCTCACAGCTGACTCCTATTGTCAACTCAAGCGCAGGTAAGGTCTTTGTTAATCCTCTGCTCTTTTGGGTCCGGTATTAAAGTGAGCTAGAAGACAGTGCACTAAATCTGTGTCACAGGGAAGAGTGTGATTAATGTGTTTGTGCCACACGGCTTCAGTGCTGTGCTCAGTGTTCAGCCAGCCACCCCTCCTGTGCAGGGCATGCACAGAGCACGAGAAACCAATGATATGAGAAGAGCTGCCAGCCCCAAAAAATGTTTTTGCTGAGAGCTGCGGCTGTTCAGCTTGGACATTGAAGGGGGACTGTAAGGAAGGAGATGGACACTTTAGGAGGGTCTGTTATGACAGGACAAGGGGAAAATTGGTTTAACTGAAAGAGAGGAGACTTAGATTGGATATAAGGAAGAAGTTTTTCACTGGCACAGGCTGCTCAGAGATGTGGTGGCTGCCCCATCCCTGGACGCACTCAAGATCAGGCTGGACCAGGCTTTGGGCAACCTGATGTAGCTGTATGCATCCCTGTTCATTGCAGGGGGGTTGGGCTAGATGGCCTTTAAGAGCCCTTTCCAACTCAAACGACTGCATGCTTGTATGATTTATTTCCAGCAGAGTCCTGCCTAGTGTCAGAGTGCCCTGCCCTAGTCGTGGCTCTGCCCTACTCACCCCTCACCACTGCTGGCTGTGCACTGTGCAAAGATCGTCAAGCCCTGACATCCTGTTTAGGTTGGATTAAAGTCAATGTCTTTCTGGTGTGACAGGGCAAACGAGTGGTGCAGAAACAAATACAAATTGTATTAAAAAATGGAGCAGGCAAACTACAGAGGCCTTTCAGAGTATTCAACTACAGAGTTGAATACACAACATCTGTGAAATAAAGTATGCTACCTATCATTAATTTTTCATTTTTTTGGTTAAGTCATTTGCCCTCTTTCTCATCCTCAGTAGGGTATTCAATACTTTTCTCTAAGCAGCTCTTGAAAGGTATAGTCCTAGAATCAATCACAGAGTCATATAATAATCACAAAGTCATAGAATCAATCCCAGTCACAGAATGGCTTGAGGTGGAAGGGACCTTAAAAATCATTCAATTCAACCCCTGTGTATGTCAATCAGAATATTAGCACCAGGGCACACAAAAGCTGTTCTTGGGGTTGCTACTGACCCGTGCAGTGGTCTAAGCAGGGATGGCCAGAATCCTAGCACAGGCTGGCTCTGTGTTACCAGTTTGCACAACTCCCAGTGCAGTAGGGATTTCACTCCTGCTTGACAATCTCCAGCTGTTAATGGAAAAGCCACAAACAGTGAAAAAAATCATGCCCCAGCTCCTGAGGGGAAAAAAACAACAAGAGAGATATTAAAGTATCATTATTCTGAATGCTCCTGGAAACAAACTGGGCTGTGTGTCCAGCACCTGCAACAGTGTCCTCTTGTAACGCCAGCTGTGCTGGGACCCAAAGGCTCCCTTTGCTTTCAGAGGAACACTGATTAATTTATTTCCTGAGCCCTAACTCCTTCTCTTGCTTTTTTGCTTTTTTGCTTTTTTGCTTTTTTGCTTTTTTGCTTTTTTGCTTTTTTGCTTTTTTGCTTTTTTTTTTAATGTTGCGGTTGTTACAAAACACTGCCTATGGCAATTTTTCCCTCCAGCCACAAAGAAGATGGAACAAAGCCTGCTCCAATCCTTCTGCCTGTGGCTCCTGAATGCCGTTTGGCTGCATTCATACCACCTTTATTACTTGGAAAAAATTCCTGCAAGTGGGCTCATGCCACGTGCGTGGTCAGAAGGCTCTGGTGGTTGCCAAAAACAGCATAGGTGTAAGTGTTGCACCCTGCTGCAGGATGCTGGTGTGCTTTCAGGCATATGTGTGTTCCTGGGAGCACCCAGGGCCCACCAGGCCCCTTTGTCCTGAGCCTGTGGTGTGCCCTGCTGGCTGCCCAGAGCCCATCGGCCCACAGTGCCCATAGCAGCTCCCACCCAGCTGTGACCTCAGGCAGCTGAGAGGCCGTAATCCTGGGCAGGAAGCTGAGGACAAAGCCAGCGGTTTGTTGAAACACAGCCAAATTGAGAGGCTCCTAGGAGGGCCGAGCCCAGGAAATAGATTTAAATCTGTTGAATAATGAATGCTCTGAGCACCATCTAATCACTTCATGAAGAGGCAAAGGCAAAAGTCAGCTCATAAATTATCTGCTGTGGAGTATTTTCTTGGTTTTAATGAGGACAAACCAATCTCTTTGGACAGTTGCATTTATGTAGCTAAAGCCTTGAAAAAATAAAGCGGTCAACTGATTGAGGAGGCAGGGTTGAACACAATGCTCCTCAGACAAGCTGACATTGAAACCCACAGAGACAAGATCCCTGATACTTCTGCCCAGCTTCAGCCTTCCCTTGGCTATCTTAGAATCATAGAATGGCCTGGGTTGAAAAGGACCTCAACGATCATCTAGTTTCAACCCCCCCTGCTATGTGCAGAGTCACCAATCACCAGAGTGGGCTGCCCAGAGCCACATCCAGCCTGGCCTTGAGTGCCTCCAGGGATGGGGCATCCACAGCAGTCTTGGGAGGGGCTGATAGCACTTCACTTTTTTCTCCTACATTTCAGAAAAGTTTTCATCTGGAAGACGAATAAACATCTGTCTGTCTGCCTGTATGCCCAGTCCTTATATGCTGATTTTCCTGTAAATGTATGTAAAGACAAAGAGGGCTTCTGCAACGATCCATCCAGGTTGCTCTGACCATCCTGTACAATAAGATCATAAATACATCAATATTAAATTGGAATGCACGCACTGGCAGTGTATGAAGAATGCCTCCCAGACTTGAAGATTCAGCAATTGCTGTGAAAATACGAGGCCTGCTCAGGGCTGCTTCTGAATCATTGTGACAATCACTTGAAAATCACTTAAAGTGAAACACCATTTTTAAAAGAGCAAAGCCTTTTTGTACAGGGTGTATGAATGCCTGCAGTGACAAAAACAGCATTTTGTCTTTCTTTGCTCTAACCACACTGAACTGAAGGCTCCCAGGGAAAGGCTCTAGTGAGAAAACCCAGAGGGCAGCTGCTCCCAGCCCCAGGAGGAAGCACTGTGTGTGATGCTGCTCCAAAGGGCTGCCCCAAGGAGACTACATGGGTTCACACAGCACATCCCATCCATAGCAAAAGCACTCAGCCAGTGGAAGCTGCAGCTGCTGGCACTTGCAGCCAGTGCTGTTTCTGAAGGGTGAGCTTTTCTCCTTGGGTGAAATTGAATCCAGGGAGCGATCCTCTTCAACCAAGGTGCTTGCTGTCCATTATCCGTACGGTGTTCTTGGAGGCAGAAGGCAGCTATAGCTTTAATTAGCTAAAAGGTTTTGAGCAGGATATAAATTTCATCCCAGGACTTTTAATTTTTCAGCTGTTAAGCTTTGCACTCTTTCACACAGACATCCTCATGCTTTTGCTGCAGCTAACCCCCCCCGTGATGACCAGAAGCAGCATTTCCTCCATACTCCGATGTCACAAACACTTCAGCATTGTCAGCGAGGAGGAGTCTGCAAAAGCATCATGCAGGGGATTAGACTGACATCTTCCTTGGGATGCTCTGAATGGCACAGCAAAATGCTCCCGTGTTTCAAGGCATTAACAGCATCTCCCACCGAGAATGGGGCATTCAGCCCAAGTGCTTCTAAAGAGGATATATGTCTTATTAAATAAGGAAAAGAAGAAGGCAAGTTCATTTCACTGCAGGAGTGTTAACATTTGTGAATGCACGTCTTGAATTCACTTATGGAAGGGTAGCTTTTAAGAAACCAATCTTAACAAATCCAAAGGAAATGGAAAAAAAGAATTTAAATTAACTTACTTCATCCATTTATAAATTGTTTAGGTTAATCACAGAAAACCAAACAGGATTCGGCTGTACTTAAACACAGCCTTTGCTCTTGTATAAACTGTTTATTATATCCATGACACACAACCAGACGAAATTCATTCCTGAGCTGGGGAACAGTCTAATTTGGTTTTATTAGGTTTAGAGAAAAACATTTTGGCAGAAGATCCACTTTAGAATGTAAAATATTTTCATATTTTTCTCAAGAAAATTCTCCTGAAAGAGATGCAGCAGTTTCTCTCCTACATCTCTGGATAAGTAAGTTGGTCCAAAGAACAAAACAGGGCAAGCTTTTCCCTGGGCTTTTCTCTCCATGACTGCAAAGGAAACCACCAGAGAACCAGGGCTCTTAAAACAGGCACAGAAAGGACCTCTTTTTTTAATGTCTCATGCAAGTATCTGAGGAAATAGCCCTCCTACAATGTCATCTAATCAAGCTAAGTACTCCAGGATGGGAGCAGTGGCCTTCTCTTCCAGTTCTGGTGTTTTAGGAAGGAACACATAAAAACATCATAGAAAAGAAAAGCCTTCAGGGAGAACTTCACAGTGGCAAGGAAATGTGGCTGAAAAAGCCAAAATGTTTGGTACTTATGTGGTTGTACCAGCCTTCTTTCAAGGGTGGATCTGTTCATGGACAACCTGATTGAGCTGTGCATGTCCCTGTTCATTGCAGAGGAGTTGGACTAGATGGCCTTTGAAGGTCTCTTCCAACTCTAAGGATCTATGACTCTTTCAAGCTACAATCAGGCAATTAAAGACCATTTTTTAAAGCTAGCACAGGGTAACAGCAGCATAGAAAATTTTACACGTATTGTATTGTTTCAAACCTGCTGAGCTGGGTGAAATTCCTCCTCCTCCTGGTTTCCAAAAAGAATTAGCAGAAGCAATTTTAGATCCCTTCGTGCTTATCTTTGCACTTGTCCAGGGTAAAAGTCAGCATGGAGTCATCACGGTTTGGTTTCCTGCTGAGCAGTATCCCTTGTAAATGGAGAAGATACAGTAAACATCTTGAGTTGTGAAAGGCTTTCAACATTGCCTCACATGCCATTCTTGTTAGCAAACGAAGGAACTGTTGTCTAAATTCAAGTAAGGAGTGGGCGCAAATCTGGCTTGAAAGACATAATAATTACCATGTACATCCCTGTGAGCTTCTCAGCACTGCTCCACAGTGACCTGGGTCTGTTGCCGCTCAGTGAAACAGTAGCCTAGGTGATGGGCTGGAACACGTGCTTATTAAATTTGCAACCAACCTCCATATCTAATACTAGACCAGGCTGCCCAGGACCCCATCCAATCTGGCCTTGAACACCTCCAGGGACAGGGCATCCACAACTTCTCTGGGCAGCTGTTCCAGCACCGCACCACTCTCATAGTAAAAAACTTCCCTCTGACATCCAACCTAAATCTTCCCTCCTTCAACTTCAAATGTTTCCCCTTATCCTGCTGTTATCTACCCTTGTAAAAAGCTGACTCCCCTCCTTGTTTATAGGCTCCCTTTAGGTACTGCAAGGGGTACATACAATCATCTGAACATCGAGAAAAACCCATGGCTGAGACAGAGAAGGCAAACACCACTCCAAGATACAACCCTGAATGTTGCTTTTGGTCCACATTTCAATCTTCCCCTTTCTGCTATGCTGACATTTTCCCCATGATGCCAAATACAGAAGATCTCCCTGCAAATAAACTGTATTTTGCAAGTACAAGAGAGAGTACAGAATCAGAGAAATAGCAAAAAAAAAAATCCTTCCTACCTGGAACAAGAAGAGCAGACTGGATAACGCTATGGCTGCCAGTGCCAGTGTCAGCCCATTCCAAGGAGTCACTTCCCAGAATGACTGGTGGGGTGAAAGCTTCTTGGAAGAGCAGCTTTGTGCAAAGGACAGTACAGAGCACATGGTCCCAAAAGCAGATGCTCTGTTCCATGGGCCTCTGCTCTTTCATGGCAAATCTTCTCATCATACTTTCCGTTTGTGAGAAGTTCTGTAGAAATTATTGCTGTCTGAGTTACTTACAATAAAGAAATTACTTCATTAAAACAGAACGTGCTCAGCAGACTTTGAAAGGCCCATGCCCATCACCTTCTGTCACTTGCCTTTTGTGATCAATTGTACCTTGAACGTACGTGAGCTTACAGTGGTCATCTCTGGTGGACTTCTTTCAACATTGCCCTTCCAGTTTCACTTTATCCTGTTACACACAGAGCCATTACCATTTTACAAGGTGTGGTGTTTTCTTTAAGGTCTCCTCTGTTATCAGTGGGTGGACTGTGATATTTTGGGGCAGATGGCTGCAGTGTCAGGGGACACAAAAGTTCTGTAGTGATTCTATATAATGGCTGCTATCATCTCACCATACTGTGCCTGCGCCGCTTTGCAGAGCATTCACGTAAATTAGATTTTAGCAAGGGTTAATTGTTCCCATTACCCATTGTTTCCTACTGTGGGTTTGCCTTGAAACCTTTGACGTTCTCTTTATTGTACCTCTCGCTGTGCAAATTTCCTTGTTTTGTTTTGTTTCTCAAAGTAATTTTTAGATGATTATTGTGTAGTTACAGAATTAGAGTAATAACATCTAATTGTACATCTGAAGCAAAACCATGTAATTGTGGGAGACTACGTTCAAGTTAAAGGAAGAAAACCTCTCTGCCAGGGCTTCTCATGGTTTGCACAGTGCATTTGCCAGACAGCGTCGCTTCGACTGCACCTAACCTGCAATTAGCATGTACAATTGCATTATTTCAGGATGTAACAGTAGCTACTGCACTAAATACAGCATCTATGAACTCAAATGATGTATCAGCATTTAGTAGTTCTGCCAAAGGAAGAAGGGCCGTCATGTCAGTGGGCCTTACCTAGAACAGATTTCCTGGATGAGCACACTTTGCTCTCCTGCTGATTGCCCATAAGCAGCCAACAGGGAAGAAAGGCCATGCAGGGTTGGAGCAGTTGAAAACTGGGCATTAAAATTACACTTCTAGTGTACCTCTGGCTTTTTGCAGAGCTTGTATGTGATACAATAGGAGACAGCAAACTGAGCATTAAATATTGCTGAATTCTCCTCCTCTGTATTCAACATTTCGTATCAGTTTTGTGTGTTTGTTTTTTAAGTCTGATCACGCAACTCAAGGATTTAAAAATAAAAATAATTTGAGCGTGATTGAATGCTGAGATCTGTGTGTATGAAGAAATCTTGGACACATAACAGGGGGTTTTGCAAATTCTTACATGGTGTTCTTTAAGGGTCGAATGTTATTTGGAAAGCATCTTAATACATCATTGGCTGATACAAATGAAAATACATTCCAGTTCAGTCTTACAGACACACAGATAAACCTGATCTTCAGCATGAGCCTTGAGTAGATAAACTGAGATGTTCTGAGTGACAAACTACTGATACGGAAATGAAACATCCCAATCCAGCAAGGGTTTCCAGTTAAATCAGTGGGAGTCAGAAGCACTAAAATCATACAAAGCAGACTCTATTGATTATTAATCTCTATCAATCTTTCACAGGAAATTGTATTGGAAGTCCTGAAAGCAAGACTGCTAGCTTCAGGCACGATGATTTGTGAGTGACGTTGCACATGGATCCAGCACAAAATGCCTGAAGTTCTCAGAAGATGCATCCATGTAACTGACAGCAATAACTACCTCAGCATCCCTGCTAAGTATTTACTTTCTTTCCTAAAGCTCCGTATTGAAAAAAGATTATTAAAAGTAGACACATAAAATTTAAAAAACAAACAAACAAACAAATCAGCCAGTGGATCTGTTTCTACACTGATTTATACTTGTTCTCCACTACCTTCACAATTGGCTGAGCATCCTGAGAGATGTAACTCAGTAACTAAGAGTGGGAGAGAGCTCATGGGCCAGTCCCATGTAGTTTAAAAGAAAAAAAAAAAAGCCATTTCTGCAAAAATAATTTAGCTTCTGCATTTGAAAGCGAGAGCAAGATAAATGGTGACACATTTTCATCCAAGATGTTTATTAAAGATGATAAGGGCACAGCACACAGACAAACCACATCCTGAAGCATGGTTAAGCTAGGTTTCACATTCTAAAGCTGTGCAGGCAGCTTGCTGTTTCTCCATCTGGAGAGCTCATTGGTACCTCTCTTGTACACATCTCTGCAGTTTTAAATCGAGAAATTACAAACACAGCCTACATTTATATGGGTGTCATTTACTTCACTTTTTATTAAAATCATCAGCTACAAAATAGCCATTTCGAACATCCCAATCCTAAATAAGCAACTATGAAAAAAATTACAATAGTCCTGAAATGAGACCACAATGGACGTGGTAAGGGGTCAGAAACACAAGAAGATACAGAGACATCAGAGAAGGCACTCACATCACACTGAAAGGTTAAACCATACCTTTGAAAACATCAGTGCACTTGTTGATCTGAGACACACTTTCTGCAAACATTGAAAAAGTTCCATTTTCCCCTCATTTAAAAAAAGAACTATAGCCACTACTGACACAGGAGAAACTGCTACTTCAACCCAACACATGACAGAAGTCCCACAGTACCTGGAAACAGAAAAATGTGCTGACATGGAAAGAAACAACACTTTTTTGATAGTAGTGGTGTCACAAAGCACTAGGTCAAATTCTCAGCTGACAGCAAGTGACACACTTCCTCTGAGTCAAAAAATTAAGTACTCACCAAGACTCTGGATAACAGTAAAAGAATCCTGACAGTATTCTCTTTCCCTTCAAGGACAAAAAAGAAAAAGTGAAGGGTTAACAGTCCTATCTACCTTCAGAAGCAACAGCGAAGTCATCGCATCCATCCAGCAGCCCTTGACATGCTCTGCACTCCACCCAGAGTGGTTGAGAGGCTAAATAAGCTTTGTGGGCCCTGCATTTAGTTATGTGCTTTACAAAACCATAACAACCGGTATACCCAGAAGCACTAGATAGTAAATGATAAAGCATTCTGCGAATATTACAGTGCAGAATCAAGGGGCCATGTTGTGCCATTTATTTTTATGTTAATATCAATGTGGAGTTCAGCTTAATATCCAGTGACTCGCTGTAATAGCAACAGAATAATCACTTCCAGGACACTGTTAAGGACATCTGTCAAGTTCTGCAGATTTGACTCCTCCTTCTATCTGCTGCTCTGACAGTGTGACCTCCTAGGTTATCATGACCCTGCTAAACTTTCCATACCATCATCCTGGAGGTGGGAAGTAGGAATGTCACGCGATGTTGGATCCTAGCATAACGTGAGAAATGAAAACATAAAAGCATTGTGTTTAAAGACAACTTTCATCAACACATTACAGCAGAAAGATCTGCATTGGTCAGTGCTACCTCAAAAACAAAATAAGGAACATCAAAACAATAAGGTAAGTAGGTGTTAATCAGATGATGAAACATGTTATTTTCATTAGTCTGCTGCAAGAAATTCACTCCAAGAAATACATCTCTAGCTTTACAAAGCTGCCCCTTTTATATCTAGAATGACAACAAATCAAAAGGATACTATAATTCTTAACACAAAGTTTAGAACTTAACTTTGCAACATAAGATTAACAAAAGATACTCGATGGCTCCCATCATAAAAACAGGTAGGCTATCACTGATCACCTCCACGTTGATTTCAGTGCCAAAGTATAAATTATACACTGATAACGTAAAATCAAGTCATCTCACATCTAATATAGGCAAATACAGACTGACGATGAAAACTATCACTTTTCTACATGTTTAACATATAGTTGCCAAGTTTAAAAATACATATCCTTCAGGTACATATACTTGTTTTTTTCATCTGTTATAATTTTAAAGTGCATCTAAATCCATTAAATAAATATTTATGCTTTAAATATAGTTCAGAAATTGTAACTATAACCAAAGAGGTAAGAATTTCTGACACTTCCAATATTCTCAGCACTGCTATTGCAGTGTAGGCAATGTTGGCAAACAGTGACCAGGCCCAACCATTTGATTTTACAGAACCACAAGTCGTTTAGGTTGGAAGGGACCTTAAGAGGTCATCTAGCTCTATTGTCTCAAAGCAAGGTCAGTGTTGACTTCTTGGGGCTTTGTCCAGCCAGGTCCTGCTAACCTCAAGGATGGTGACAGCACAGCCTTGCCAGGCCCTTGTTCTGCTGCCTGCAGTAGTGCTCACAGTGGGAAATCTGGGCAATTCACCTAATTGTTCCTCGAGGACAACTGAGTTCCTTGAGGAACTCTTCAATGAAGTTCACAATTTCCAGTCTTATCAGTGTAAATATCAGCCGGGTCTGTACTCTTAAATTCATACCAAACTAAAATATTGACAAAGTAGACAGAGTACTAATGAGCGTTTTAAAGCTCACTGAGCTAAATTCGCTACTAACAGTAACTTCAGAGGAATATTGCCTGCCTATATAAGCAATCAGTCCGAGCTACGCAGGCACCCCATGAATAGCAGCCCTCTCTGGGATAAAGACACCATTTTCAGAAGTGCTCCCTGCTCTAGGAAACACTTCCCAGAATGGCCGTGGTGCTGCAGGCACTGCCTTGTCCCAGCTTCCATCAGCAAATACTTTCCTGTGGAGGGGAATTCTACCTGCAAAACTCTGAACGTCACAATGTTAAATGATAGTTTCCAAACTATACGTCAAGCTTTTTACTACCTTTCACACAATAGCACCAGAGCACTGCTGCCATTCTGTCTCCATAATCATCACACACAAGCAGTGCCCGGTGCTGTAGAGTTACAGCTACAAGTCCTTGGCAAGCAGTTCTATCTCATCCAGCAAGAAGTCCATGTCCTCTCGACTCACTTGTGGGCTGATCACCACCTGGCGGAAGAAGTTGACTTTGCCTTGGTTAGGCTGGTACCCAAGCATCATGCTGCCCTTCTTCATCATCCTTTCTTTAACTACAGGAGCAACCTGAAAACAGAGAAACAAAAGTGTTGTTGTTACCCTAAGGAATACAGCAGATCTGTACAGGAACTGTTTTGTGCCTTAAGAAGCTTTTTTGAAGCGCCTGAGTTTTGCAGCCTGTGGCTGCCTCCCAGCTGCCTGCCCCAAGAAATATTACAGTTCAAACCTTAAGACTTAGAGGCAGATTGTTCACTGAAACCCTTAAGTTCTGGGACTCCTGGGAGAACCAAAGCAAAATCTAAACCCCTCAAAAGCCCACTGCTCGCAGCGTTCATCTGCCACATGGGAAAGCTCAGGTTAATGTCTGTAGGCCCTAGATTTAGAGAAAAGGCTTGAGCTCAGAACATCAGCTGCAGCTGGTTAATGGTACACTTTATCTCCTTGTGCTAACTAGCCTAAGCCTGACTACTTTCACTTCTGGGCCCTTCAGCTGCCACACCTGCAAAGCAGCTCTCTCTAGAGGACACTCTCCATTAAACTCGTGTGAACTTTGAGCTGCCAGAGAAGTCAGAGCAATGCACTATTAGGGAGAAGTCCTGATCCCAGAGGTTAAGGTTTCATCTTTAGATTTACAATGAAAGTAACATTTGGCTACACCACTTGTATGCAATGGGACAAAATAGGTGTCTCAGAATTGAACAAACTATAAGGAAGATTGGAAGAGTCAAGTCCTTGTAGTTGAGTACTCGATCTCATCCCAGCAGGGCTATTAACCTCGTCCAATTAATCTTGTGCTTAACTTTAAGCATATGAGTAGTTCTTCTGTGTTCTCATGCCTGAAATAAGTCATAAACTTAAATGCACTGCTTGATTAAGTACTCTATTCCTTGGAAGACAGAATTGAAACAAGTAATAGTTTTAAAAATGTGCTGCATTTTAATATATTACTAATAATACTAATGCATTTCAGAACAGTTTATTCCTTTGCATCCTTTTGTGACAGTTTGACTTTGAACAAAACAAATAAGTATAGGACCTAACCTTGACTTTTGCATTAATTCATTTCAGCTCTAGAAGTTAGTGCTGGAAAATACCACCAGATCTGCAAAAGAAAAATGATGGTGCCAACCATGCCTTAATAGCTCTGTTTTTACATGGCATGTCATAGTGAGCAGCTTCCATATAGTTTGCTTAGATAGAAACGTCTCCAGTTTTCTACACTAACAGCCCGAATTTCCATATTTGCTGAATGGTGTGTCTATATTATCACTGTTTCAAAATGCATATTGAATTCAGAGGGGGAATGCTCATGGTTCTAACTTAATTTACCTCTCTGAAATAACTTCGTCTTTGTGACAAAGCTACGTGTTTTATTTAGTGTTTGTTTCAAACCCTGAGAGTGATGGAGTTAGTAATTCTAATTAAAGTCTACAGTGTGGCATCAGTATGAATTATGCACCTGAGAGCAATGAATACTCTTCAGAATGCAATCTGCAACCAGAAGTTTGGTTTTTTTGCATAGTGCTGCAAGCAAAAATTAAGTAGTAGTTTATGAAAGCAGTTCTGATAAACATTTGGGAAACAGATAACAGTAAGAACAGAAAGATTCAACATTACAGCAGAAACGTTAAGATGCATACCATGATACCTTCACTCACATCCAATAGCACCTCCACTGTACAACCTAATGTTGGGTTCTGGGTGTGCCTCCTACATAAAGATCCTAGTGAAAGCTAGCAATAAAATCACAATTCTACCGTATATCTGCAACATGTGCATCATTTAGAAATAGAATTCATCAAATTTATCCATATACCATGGAAAGAACACTATCTCCCACCTGGATTTCTGTCTGCCTGGAAAATGATTCAAGGATTCTTCTGTTCTCTTGTTTTGCAGCTCCAAATTACAGAATCATAAAATCCTTAGAGCTGAAAGGGACATTTAAAGGTCATCTAGGCCCAACTCTCCTGCAATAAACAGGGACTCCTACAGCTAGACAAAGTTGCTCCAAATCCAGTCCAGCCTGGCTTTGAATGTGTCCAAGGACAGGGCATCCACCACCTCTCTGGGCAACCTGTGCCTGTGCCTCACCACCCTCACTGTAGAAGTCTTTTTCCTTATATCTAACCCAAACATACTCTCTTTAACCTTGAAACCTATCACAACAGTCCCTGCTAAAGAGTCTGTCCCATTCTTTCTTACAGCCCCCCTTCCAATACTGAAAGGCTGCTCTCAGGTCACTTTGAAGTCTCCTCTTCTCCAAGCTGAACAGCCCCAGCTCTCAGCCTGTTCTTGTAGGGGAGGTGTTCCACCCCTCGGACCATTTCTGTGGCCCTCCTCTGGACATTCTCCAACAGCTCCATGTCTCTCCTGTACTGAGGACTCCACATCTGGATGCAGTACTACAGGTACTACCAGCACAGAGTAGATGGGCAGGATCACCTCCCTCACCCTGCTGGTCACACTTCTTTTGATGCAGCCCAGGATATGCTCGGCTTTCTGGGTTGCAAGGGCACACTGCTGGCTCACGTCCAGCTCGTCATCCACCAGCACCCCCAGGTCCTTTTTGGCAGGCTGCACTTAGCCATTTCATCCCCCAGTTTGTGTTGGGAGGGGAGGTTACCTCAACCCAGGTGCAAGACCCTGAAATCTGAATCACATCAGATTAACCTCATTTAGTCTACGCTAAAGCAAAATACAAACCCAAAACACAAACAAACAAGCAAAAAAAACAATAATCCCCAGCAACTGGAGTTCTGCTTGGATAGAGATGGATGTTATTTTGCATGCGACAGACCTTTTTGTCTGCAGCAAGTATGCAACTTGCTAAACACTCCATTTCAGATCAAATATTCCAAACTGCACCCCAACAAATCACTGAATACATCACTGTACAGTGGCAAAATACGGGTTCTGCAATTGTTTTTGCACAACTTGCCAGTTGGTTGAGTCAAAAGGAAAGACTCTTGGTTGGGAATGCCCAGGCTATGCACACCACCATACAGCTCTGTGACACCATTCAGTCTTAAACACTGAATAACTCAGCAACAACAGAAGTTCTACTTCTCCTGCAGTTTGTGTGTGTTGAACCCAATAACAGCACATGAGGTAACTAAAAGCTCTACTCTTCCATTCTTATTCACACCACTGTGGGCTGAGGTAACAATGACACAGTGACAGTACTCAGAAGCCATCATGCCCAGCAGGTTTCATACTGAGCACCATATTGACACAGAAAAGAAAAAAAACCTCCTTTATCCCTGCCCTTGACAAGAACCCCCATGTGACATCTAGTCATGGAATAAAGGCAGTACAAGTGCAAAGGGAAAAGTGAATTCTTAATATATTTTCTCAAGCTCTTCTTTAAGATTCAAATCCCTATGGCAACTTTTAGCCTTTATTGATGTTCCATCAGAGTTATTTCATCTTTTGTATCATCCTATTGATTCTCTTCATCTCAACATCCAGTGCTCCGCAATCCATCATCCCCAGATGTACAGTAGCACAAATGGAGACCATGAAAGCAAAAACATATAGAGCTCCAGCAATATCAGGGGCTGTAAATATACTGCATTTCAGTTGGTCTTCTCTCATGGAGAGGGAAGGTAGAAAATCTCATTTTCATTATCTCAGTCATTATGTCATTCACCCTCCACATGAATGAAGTTGTCCTCTTAATATTTGTTTTGAAGTGCATCCCACCCTTTCTGAAGGCAAAACAAACTCATCCTACTTAAAAAGAAAACAAACCTAAACTAATCTAGAAACTATCTTGCAGGGTTATTTTTGGAAAGGTGTTCCATTAAGTATTTTGCATGTTCTATTTGGTAATTTGATGCAGTCACTGTAACAAAACTGTTGTGAATCCTGATCACAGTAAGCAACAGAATATAAGCACAAATGCTTAAGTATGTGTTTCACAAAAGAGTCATTAAATGATGCATAGAGGCTAAGGCTGGGACTTGAGGAGCACTGGGTCTGACTGCTAAGTGAAAGTAAAGGCAGCTACCGATTCGCTGCAGAAAAATCAGACCTATATAGAACTAATTACCTAGTGAGGAGTTCAATGAGTTCAATTCCCACTGAAGTCAATGAGAACTGAGGATGTTCAAATATCAGAAAGAGCTGCACAGCCCCACTCAGGATAGGTTCCTAGGAAAGCAATTTAGTGAGAGCAAGATTGCTTCACCAGTCCAATTATTTTTACAACGAAACTTACTTCAAATTGTAAACCTAATTCTTTATGTTGCCTGTCACTGGAACAGTCTCGGAATTTTAAGTGTAATGTATCCTGAAACTTAAATTCTCTTCTCTCCTTTGTTCTCCTCACCCTGGAGATTACTATTTAAAAAGATCACTTCAGTGATGCTTTAGCTACCAGACATGCCAGAAAGGTGAGGAGGAAGCACAGTGAGCAGAAGGTCCTCCTCCAGCAGGGCTGCTACAACAGGAGACCCACAGGATGGACCTGTGCATCATGGCCTCCCTCTGCAGACCTACATAGGGGGTTTAATCTCATGCTGCCTGGATTCCTCCTTTTTATAGCAGAGGTTTTATGAGCTGTAGCAACAAGGACATAGTGGTTTGGATCCTTCTCTGTTTACCTGCATGACGGGATAATCTCTTCCCCTACTCCCTGCCAGCACTCAACTGAGCCGTAAACACCAGAAAATTTTAGCCTAAATTAAAGCTGTTCCCATCAAGAATCCAGACTGCAGCTGACCCATACATACACTCATGTGGAAGGTGCCTTCCCAGCTTGCATACACACACACACACACACACACACACACACACACAGTGTGATGAACAGCAAGGGCCACCAAGGACACTGCAGCTGGAGTATCCACACGTACCAGGAAGATGGGAAAAGCAATATATGCCCCTCTCTGCATCTCAAGCATCCTTGAGAAGAGCAGTTCTGTGCAACTATACTACAGGGTGATGCCTTAAAAGCATCTGTGCGACCCACAATTGACTCCTCAGATGTAATTAATGCAGGTCTCTCCAATACTCAAAGAATTCCCACCAAGTTCAGGCCACAATCATGCCTCAGCAGCTAT